ATGGAAATATGAAAATAACAATTATATTATTTTTTACGTTGATAAAATACTGCGTCATCTCAGTCGAATGATTTCAGTGACCATCCATTAGGTTAAATGTTTAATTAAAAGTTGTTGTTAACTAACATATTGTTTTAGTTTATTTAGCACGTATATACTATATATATTTATAAATATTAGAATCCAAGAAAAAACATTAAAAAAAGTAATTTTACTCCAGTTGACACAAAATCTCAAATTAACTATTCGTTGCCAACGGAAATTACAGCAATATTAAACTTGGCTCTGTACATTAAAACGTCGAGCACAAGCCCTATATACATGACACTAATATCTATCGTTCGTTTGCCGTTGAAGTTTAGTAAGCTTTAAAGTTACACCGCATAAAGTTTTGGCCTTTAGCTTATTGATCTTTATACTATTCTTCATCGTTAACTCAGATCTCATCCGTTCCTATCTACCTACATTATGTATATTATACATACACATTTAATAGAAAAGCCAAAATAAATATTTATAAAACATATAAATTTTAGTATAAACGTATATAATATTATAATAAAAGGTATTATATTAATATTATTATATTGTATGTTATAAGATTAATCAATTTCAGGGTTACCAGAAATATAGTATAGTTATACACTGCCTACTTGATTAAATCAACTCTGTGGAGGAAAAAAATGTCGAGTAAATCTTTTTTAGTTAACTATATTTTAGTTAAAAAGCTATAGTTCAGTCCCTATTGACAGTAATATAGGGTCAGCTAAGATAATTTTAACCTAAACTAACCTAACCTAACCAGTAATTATAACCATAGTTTAATATAATTTTAATTTTTTACTATATTTAAAAATACAAATATTTTCCACTGCATGATAATTTTCAAGTTTTATCTAATCTTATAATAATATTTTATTCCGAGCTCGTATCATAATATTATTTAAGAAAATGCTTAAATATGTGTTATAATAACATGCTCTGAAAATACTAAAATTAGCAAAAAACCAAATCAATTGTACAAAGCTATCATTATTGCCATGCTTCTTCATATGAATTATTTTATACACTAATACACTAATAAGTAATAGTGTATTATAAAGATAATATTAGACAAGAGTTGTTTTTTTACTTATATTTTATTATTAAAAAAAAATAAACAAAACTTTGTAGGAATATAGACATAATGTAAATTCTAAAACTATACTATTTAATAATTTACTCTAATTGCATTCTGTACCAAAAATATGGAATTCTTTTTTTTTCTCAAACATTTATTAACTGTTTTTTATTAGATTAGTTCTTCCCTTGAAATAGCCTGAACAATATTTGACCATATGTGTTAAATATTAGCTCGTGGCTAAATAACACATATTTAGAGTACCTGATATTTTTGTACTTTGTGAGATCAACGGTGTGTCCAGACTTCAGTAAGTAAATATAAATACAAATATTGTCTTTTATAATACAGTTATTGGTTGAATCAGGATTAGTACTAAGCGACCGATGTTTATTTTGTTTGATTATAATGGTTTACTTGATAACTTTCCTCAAGCCTACAACTTCCAAGCTTTATGTTATTGAAGTGTACAATATGTTTGTAAATTAAATAATATATAAAGGATGTCACTATTCGAGTCAGTTAATGGTTATACAATTACAATGACTTATAACCATTTTAAGTGGTTGGTCGCATAAAACTAGAGAATAAGTACTGAAAGGTTTTCAAAGTAATAAGTAGTTATTAGAATAATATAAACTCCTTTAGACCGCGTAATGAAAACTCATCACAAAATAGGATTGCTTCGATACTTGAGTAGTTAGTCTTCTTTAAACTTTGACGCATAGCTGAAAGTTATTGGTCTTACAATGTTATAAATGAATAAAAAAATCTAGAAAATGAACTTTTAAATTTATTTATTTTTTACTTTAAAATTTCAGCAGCTATACATAGATTAAAAAATCAGCCAAAAGCTACTCAAGATGGCGTGAATTGGTTTAATTTTTTTTCGTTATAACTCTTCTGCAGAAAAAAAAATTGACCGTTCCCTCAGGAAAGCTAAAAAACTACCTAGTTTTTATGAACTATATTATTAAAATTATTATCTAATTTTAATGGTTATAAATGTGTAACCAGTGTTGACGTTAATTAATTATAACCGTACTTTCTGAACGGTATTGCATTATCTATCTTCAGTGTCATTCAAATGTTTACATTAATTATACAAACATAATTATTATTTTAAATGTTAATTACATAAATTAGGTAAATTTTTAAATTGTTCATTTATACCCCTTGGGTATTTAGATGATATTTACATATTGAAGTATAATGCATAGGCGGAACTACAGGAGGTTCTCACTGCCCAAGCACACCTAATATCCAGATAATAAACTTTACAAAAAACTTAAATTATATTATGACGTTAAAGACTAGTTTAATCGTGAACAAACAATTTAAACGATTTTAAAAAAATAATCATGTTTAATTGTTTTTGATAAAAACAACCTAAATTATATTGACTGAGGTCTAAGTTACAGTTTGGATGTTTAACTGGATCATCTAATCCGAGTTACTAACAGACTTTAAAGTTTGAATTAATAATTAATATAGTTATTTTCATTTTAGATCTATTGAATTAAGCATCTTTTAAATGGTATCAATGCCGACATTTAATAACATGTAAAATACGATTAATATGGGCAATATTTTATGATAATTATTCTTGCAAAAGAATTTCTGCTGTATCAATTTGTTAAACGGTAAAATAATAATATTAATAGTTTTTTCTGTATTAACTTAAATTTATCAAAATGCATTCTATAATTTAATATTATTCAAAATTGTTAAAAAATAAAACTACCGAGTTCTATGTTCCTATTAAAGTATATACTCATTCTAGTACATCTCAATAAATATTATCTCTGCTGAGTTATACATAGTTGAGTTTAATAGGCCCTTCTTGTTTGTAGTTTTGTACAGCAAACCCATACTGATTTCTTAATGGTTAATCGATAATCCCGTGCATTAAGGAGATATACAGGTAGGTATTGCCGATGATACTTCTCATTCATTGAGGTGGATATCGAAACGAAAGTGCGGAAATGTAAAACGGAAATGTTCCGGATGTATTTCCACGCTGCATCATTTCCTTTGGCGTTGTGTAATCAAAAGGAAGTATGAGCAATATAAGATGGGTCTCGATAATAATTTACTTATAGCTGTGCGGAAAAGGGATGTATTAGGATTTTCCATTGAGTATCTTATCATTTTCCAAATATCGTTATCAAAAGCAAATTTCCTGTCAAATGACCGTTTAAATGTATTAATCATAATAAAATGGCATTACTATAGTATTCATCAAATTTAACGACGTCTCTTATTTGTTTTATGAATTATGTGCGTGCACACTTTTTTTCTCAACAAAAAAGTGTCTATGCACATTATTGGTTTTAATGCAGAAATCAATATAATTTGTCGAAAACCTATTTCGTTATAACGCAAATATACAAGATTAACTGCGCAGCTTAAGATCACATTAATTGTTTAAATAACATAAAAAAAATATAAAACTCTTGGATCTTCTTGCGGTTTTCTTGCTTTTTTTTTATATCAACTCATTACAACCACTGTGTTTTTATACATTCTATGTTAGCGACATTTTATCTCTCTCCTCCACGTACACCGAAATCATACAAACATTTATAAAACATTAGTTGACGAGGGGGGGAGGGGGGAGAATTTCCGAGGCCTTTCCCATGAAGACGTCATTGCTAATAATGTTCGACGAGCTCTTATAATAATAGCGAGAAACCTTACTGATTTCCCGATGGGCGACAATTTGTGGACGGCTTCTCTAACTATTTTACCATCAACAATTCAAGTATACTTACACTGTAAAACAATAAACCACGGCCGATTTAGACAATGTAAGACCTAAGACTAAATGAAATATAGTTCATGCACAGGTGCAACTCGATCGGGTCTAGGAGAAGGCTCAGCCCCTACCCTCAAAAATATCTTTAGCCCCCTAAAAATTATTGGACTTCTGATGTCTTTATAGGGAGTTTAATTATATAATAATATCGGGTCAGCCAGCCTCGTTTTTTCTACAAATCTCCATTTATCGCCATTTCTTTTTTCACTCCACATTCCACACATATCCTATATCTTATTCATACACTTCTTTCTTGGACTACCTCTACCTATAAATCCGTCAACTGTGATCTCTCTTACATGTTTTACTATTTCTTAATTTTCCTCCCATTAGTTCAACTTGCCCAAACCATCTCAATTGTTTCTCTATCAGATTTCCTGCTATTATCGCAACACCCAAACTTTTTCTTACAACATACTCAGTTCAGACACTTCCATTTAACTTTTATCTCTCTTATGCGATGGCCAACATATACTTTTATATATTATATTGCTGGTCTTTTCCTTTCATAATTCACTCTGAATGGTATCTTTCTGTCACACGCTGTCATTAAAGTATAACTATTAATTAATAAAAAAGGTTGATGATATATTATTAACATAATAGTATTACTATTGGTAGATGACTAAAATGTCTGACTATAGTTAGGTGTGTAGCCTCCCAAAAAAATTTAACCCTTAGTGTAAGGCATATAAATCCAGAAGAAATTCCGAACTTAATTTATAATATTAGAGTCCATGGACCTTAATATTTTTTGTTGTGGCTAATGGAAACAGATTGACAAAAAAAACCCAACCTCTTAAATCATAGTGGGTTTTTTGTTTAATTCCAGAACATGTTAAGAATTCACTCAAAAATATAAAATTTGGTTAAACTTCTGTACACCTTAAAAAATTTATCCGGGCCAGGCTTGAAAAAAACAAGGTTTTTGCCAACTCTAAATGGAAAATATACACTGTAAATAATTTCATCGAAAAACTTGCCACTCCCCGTTACCACAACGGTTAAAACTGTTCGGGTAATCGACGTAACTCAGACTTATCAAATCTAGTCTAGACTTACCTTGGACGAAACATGAACAGATTAATAACACGGTCATCAGCAGTCGGGCGGGGATGTTCATGTTTTCGCTGCGGCCTTTGGCTGTCTTGGTGTGGTGGTCGTCTCTGTCGTTTGCCGTTGCATTTTTCTTCACGCTTCCCGCGAAACGCACCACTTCATCGTCCACAACACAACCGTGATCGCCGCCGTCGTCTTCGTTAACGTAACCGTCGGCACAACGCACTACCGGGGAAAAAAGACACTATAGGTCGCCTTATCGTCGAGCGTGTCGTCCGTTCACCGGCCGCTGACTGTCGACCGACACGGAACGGGGACACCACCCGCAAAAATCATAGCCGACATTGCTATATTGCGCGTACCGAACGACTTAGTGGATTCCAATTCAGGCGGACACAGACAGAACGTAGACTCGTCTCGGTAAAAATAGATCCGGTCGGATATCCAAAATACGCGCGCACACACCACAATAAGCGACGTCGTTAGTATATATATGATAATATATTAATAATAATAATGACGGAGGATTAACCGCGGATATGAATTTATCTGACGGTAGACGTTGTTGTTGTATGGACGAGAGACGGTGGGAGAGCGCGACACAGACCGCGACGTTGATGTGAATGCGTGCGCGCGTGTTGTGTATATATATATTTTAATGTGGGCGGCCGTATGCGTATGTGCGTGTGTATGCGCGGATATAGAAACGATAGCGCGGCACGCCGGTAACCGGTACAAGCGAGCGAATGTTTGTGGGGCGCGGCGCTCAGGGCATGCGAAACAAGCGGCCGCGGCCCCGGTATCGACCGTCGCAGCCGCCGCGCGCCGAAACGTTCGGAAGTCGGACGTACGCATCGGCCACCGCTCTCCCGGTCCGTGCGACGCGCATCCCTACGGCCTCACCATAGCCCGCGTGCCCTCGCCTCGATATCAGGATGTTAGAGAGCGGCGGCACGAAGGACAAGGGCGGCGGTGGTAGGGCGGAGGGAAAGGGCTGGTTAATCGAATCAACGTTTTTGTCCTTCGCTCCGAGAATGAACACGCCGTGTTTGTGGTCGTTTTGATGTAACGACGCCGTATGAATGGATCAGTCCCTCCCGTACGTGCCCACGCTGCCCACCACCTTCGACACGAGACCCCTCTTCGTGCCTACAACCGTCCCGCCAACGTCGACCACGGCATCACGGGAGCGTGTGGCGGCGCCCAAGAATCATATCCCGGTATTGGTATATACTTACATATTTACCGGTCACTATTTATCCTGTGCGTGTTTTTGATCTTTGCGCGTACCAGACTCGATGGCGACGGTGGCCGACGGCGGTGGGCAGGAAAAGGTCGACAAATCACAAGTCCGCCAGCTTACAATATTCGTCGCACTTATAAAAATGAAAAAAGAAAACGTAATTCCTGAGTCAATGTAATTGTATAAAGCATGAATATAATCCTCAAAGAATCGAGGCCGTTTTCTCCGCATCGATTCAAACTAACATTTATAAAATGAAAAAAAACAACTTTTATTAAGATGACGCCGTATTTTTGTATAAAAACAACGGTTAACATTCTATACATATCTCTGAACGTATTAATTATCATATAAACATGATGCTGAAGTTAATATAAACATCGAGACTTACCATAATACGACTTATCGAGAATTTGTTTTATTTTACAATGAGTTAAAAAAGAAAGGAAAAATAATAACAAGTAAAATGCCCGATTTCAAATTTGCCTATTGTCAGAGTAAATTTATATAAATAATATGTTACATTTTACAGATTATAAAATATACGATTTTTAAGAAAATTCTCGAAAAACAAATTCTAGTTGATATCCACATCATACAGCATATAAATGATTGTGAATAATATAGTAAGAGCTATTTATTATGGGGAAAAAGTTATTTGCCATGAATTGAGCCATTTCAAATATGTTACATACAGATGGAATATACATAGTATTTCACTGCTGGCGCCATTAATTTTTGTATTTTTTAAAGTAAAAAAAAAATGAATTTGACAAAAAAAAATTGTATGGGGCCATTCTTTAATCATTGCATAAATTACGAAATTCACTGAACAGTTTTCTCCGATTAATCGAATGGACGCCAATCCTTTTTTTTTTTCAAACGAATTTGATCAAAACAGATTTTCAAACAATAAATCTAAACGATCTACACTTTCTTTTCCCACTCGTTGAAGATTTTTGCGGCATGCTCTGCACTTGGGGCTACACTAGGTTTGACCCCATTTGTCGGAGAGATAAATCCGCAAATTTGACTGCCACTTTTCTGGACTTCAGTAGGTCATTTTCTTCTTTTAGGAGATTTTTTAATACGGTTTCACCAACCTCTTTGATCCTATCGACCTTAGAACTCAGGCCAACAGCCCAGTTTTTTATCGGGATATGTACGTTCTTATTTGATTTGACAAAAAGTTTCATCTGCCATCCCACACTATCTCTTCAATACGTTCTTCATCTTCTTCATCCGCATTGTCAGTTTTTAAATTTTCAGTTCGTTTATCCATATGGCCAGCCCCCCCCCCCCCGAATCCATAGGGGCTTAAGTCAGGGGTAAAATTCCGTAATCGTTTTGAGCCGGGTTTGTCCGTTTACTAAGAGCTAGAAGTTGGACCGATCTTTTCTGACCCCAACCAATTAAGGTAAGGGCCAGCTTGCGGGTGGGATCCTTGGCACGGACTTAGTTATGAGCCCGTGAGCCCCTTTACCACGACAACGTGGATCCCACGGAGGGGCTGTTAACCCCCTACATCCACAATGAAGGAAAGCTGTTTGTTTTTAGGCGTAATTATAGGACAGAGCATTAAAGCTGTAATCTATTTTAATTATGCTATGTATAAATTATAAATAAATACCAAGATAAGAATTTTGATTCTGGTAGTACTAACTTGAAATTTCGTATAATTTAGTAAAAATTATAACATAAAATATTATGTATGTTTACCAATTATTATCAAAATAATTTGCCCATTTTTTTAACATAACTATATGATTTCTGGTTTGTCGATAAAACATAGCATAGAAATAAAACATGTCTTTCTTCATGCTACAACTAAAAATATTGGTAGTCTTTATTTAAAATATGATGCAAAGCTGAGAAGGTAATAGTTTTTTCAATGATGTCTTTTTATTTTATACTTTCGTGTCTGTTCGATATATTTTAAACCGCTGCGCTGGACCGATTTCTTCACGTAGTAAGTCTAGAGATCAGAAATCATACTCAAAAGGTACATTATACGATCAAAAACGTGAAAAATTTACCTTTTCCTCACCAAAATCCAGAAAAAAAAAAATTACTCATTTAAGTCGTGTAATCAATTTTTTTTAATGACGCTCTGAAAAAAATTAAAAAGATAAAAAGTTTGATATTTTCTAATATTGTAGAATAACATTTTTTATGTTACAAGAATTTATGTTACATAAACTAAAGTATAATTAGAAATTAAAAAAAAACTACAAAATATTGATTATTTTAAGAGAAAATGAATCCTCAATGAACCACTCGAAAAAATTCTTATATAATTAAGAATTCGAATAAGCTAATATAAAATACGTTTTCCAGAACTTAAATTGCAATACGACATACGTACTGTATTCCATGTTTGTATTAGGGTTGGGCCTATCCGGATATTCGGATATCTGAATTATCCGGATAATTCGGATACGGATATCCGAAATCCGGATAGTTTCGGATCAATCGTATTAATCAACTATCCGGATATCCGAAACTATCCGGATAGTTTTGGATATTCATTTCATTTTTATAAGACAAATATACCTTAATAGTATACAGTGTTTTTAAACATATCGAATAATAAAATAATGACACCTAATTAAATTTTACTATCACATGAATGATTTTTAGATATATCCGTGTCAGTGGTTGTTAACCGACTATTCGGACTCTTTGCAGAGTCCATCCTCAGGGTTGTCACGACTGTTCCGCTGCCGGTTAATAACCACTGACACGGATATGTCTGAAAATCATCCATGTGATATTTCAACCCGTGAAAGTTTCAAAAAATACATAAATTTGAGTACTCAAAAAAATATATTCGGCTGGTTAAAAATTAAATGAATATCCGAAACTATCCGGATAATTTTTTAACTATTCGGATAGTTTTGGTTCTACGGATAATTAAAATATTATTTGATATCCGAAACTATCCGGATAGTTGATCAATTTTCCGGATATCCGAAATTAACCGGATTCGGATATCCGTATCCAAATTATCCGCAAAATCCGAATATTAGTCCCAACCCTAGTTTGTATCTCTAATTATTAAACTATATTTCATTTTCTAAGTTTGTACATTACATGTTATAATATTTTTATTCCATTTACTTATACGGAAATACAGCTTTCTAAATAAATAGGTATATGTTTATTGTTTTAAATTTAAAATTTACCACTGAAAAAAAGTATACTATATATGAATAGGAATTTGTTAAAAGGAACATAATATTTAACTTTTTAACAACTTTTCAGGAGAAACAAAAAACTATTTTTCTCTTTATAAATTTGCTTATTCAGATCAATCATCATAATTTCAATTAAATAATAATGTATTAAAAATAATTAGCAAAGAAAAATATTTTAAAAACAATTTGTGTTTCTATAAATAGCCAAACATTTTCTATGACGGGTCCTTTTTAACAAATTCTAATAATGTTTAATTTAAAAAATAATATACAATTGTCTTTGAAAATAATAATATAGTACATTTTCATTTATTATATCTAATCAAGTAAATAACAATATAACAATTATGAAAATAAATAGCAAACTTTGATTATTAACATTGACATTTGATAACATATACACAACATTATAATATGACAAAGGGACTTTTTGACACTAAACGATGTGTTTACATAAGCAGATAAATTATTTACCATAGAACTAATTTGGTAAAATATGTAACTTAGGTCCCTTTTAACAAATTCCCATTCATATGGAAGTGCGATAAATTCTATCAGGGATTGAAAACTTTAAAAGAAGCCAAAATTAACATTTTTTGTTATAACTTATTATTACACCAAACGTTAATCAAAAAACTTAACTGAGTTTAAATATGTAAAAAAATGTTAAGTTAAGTGATGTCTTTTGAAAAGATATAAGCATTTTGTTCAAAGAACCATCCTTCACATAATTTCAAAAGGCATAACTTAACTTATTTATGTGTATACACTCAGTTAGGCTATCAGAATATCATATAATTTAAAAATACATTTAAATCAAAATTTAATGTAGTAGTTGTAACAAATGTTAGCTTGGTGACGTTTTCAATCCCTAGTTTTAAGGTGGAATTCGTTTTACGTGTGGCAGTCGAGAACAAAACAAGTATACTGTGACTCGTTCTTCCTAATATATATATTTATTATATTTTATTATTGTATCTGTACATAAGGTATACCTGTATTCTATTATTTGTATAAAAAAAACATTTTTTTCTCCTACCACAATATGCTTTAAATTAGGTCTACACCTTGGTGAACTTAATGAAAAATTAGCAATCCAGAACTGACGCATCGTCGCGAAACCAAGAATAAAAATATAGTAAAACGTGGTCATGCAAATATTATATCTGGAATCAATATTTACCCGTGTAAGCCGTGTAAATATTGTAGCATGCTTTAGAACTCACAACTAACGAATCGCTGAATAGATTAACTTATTATTTATGTCAAAGAAGTTGTGTAGACAATCTTTTAAAAAAAAATCTTAAAACTGTTAAAGTAAAAGTATAGCAGTGTATACTTTGTGAAACACCAGTCTTATTTTGTGTCCATTAATAGGTACATAAGTAGTTTAGCTGGCCTAAAATTAACATTTCATATACAAATTCAATCCCAAAATAAACATAAATATTATAATTTATACCTCAAAATTAAATAATAAATAAAATAAATATAGTCAGCGCAGTGGGCTCAGGGCATTTGGGGTCAAAGAGGTCACAAGTCTTTAAGAATTATTATAAATAAATATGTTAGGAGTGTGCAAAATTTCTTTCTTTGAGATGAGACGAGAATGGATAACTCGATCTTGTCTCAGTCGAGATTGAGTCATTGAGATAGGCAGTACGTCAAGAAATCTAAATATTTTAAACAATTTTGTAGTATCGAAAAGCCTCGATATGTACAGAAATATCATGTACATTATTTGACATTTGTATACAGGATGATAATTGACGGAAGATAAATCAGCCATTATCTTGTCAAAATCTTGTTAAAAACTGTAACGCTGTTGTACCGATTTTTGATTGTTGTTAATTCAAAACATTTGTAAGTAAATCAATCTCAAAGAATTGATAATTTTCAAGATATTTTATTTGATAAAATACTTGTACATTTAGGATGGGAAGTGAAGTGCGGTTGAGTATTGCGTGCAGTAAAAAATACTACTATACTACACCCTTCTCCCGGCCTTAATTTTAATCTTTAATAACTAAAATAATTATTCAGAACTGGTTATTCAACAGCCAAAATGTAAATAACACTTAAACGTTATCATTTAAGTTTCATAAGCTGATAAAGTTTTGGAATTTACCAAAAAACATTAAAAAAAAAATTAAATATCGTAAAATAACATAATAGAAAATCTTGAAAAGAAAAACGAATGTTATGACGTATCGTAAATATAAGTTGAAAATATTAACATTTAAATAGTTTTCTTTTTAAAAGAGGAGGGTATTTTTTCGTTTTTAGCATTATGACAGGTACCTTTCTGGTACGATTTGTGATCTAAATACTACGCGTCGTTGGTATAATATTTTTTTTTAACATTTTAACATTTTACAACTAGACCAAAAGTTAAAGACAAAAAACGATTATGAGAAATAAAAATGAAAGAGCCAAATTCGTAAATTTTTATTTATTTCACTGTTTCTATTTTTAAACTGTTTCCAACAAAACAGGTTAACTAAACAGTACTCATTATTTAAACGCTGCGTAGTCTACACTATTTGATGTGCACTTAGTAGCAGGTATTTGTAATACGAATCCACTCTAATGTTTTAAACAATTGTTTATTGAGAGTTGTGACGCTTTCTTAATAAACTCGCCAAAAATAACAATAATGAAAGTTATAATATGGTAGAAGTAATAAACGTTTTAAATAACCGATATTAATATGGTCTCATGAAAAAATCAACTACTTACAAAAATTTCTCATTAACGTACTGTCTATCCCATCAAAATCGAATAAATTAAAAATTGCATTTGTTTGGTTTTTTATTAAACTTCATCAAGAGTTATAACTTAAGACATATAACTTGCAAATGTTTACTTACAACCACATTTCTTTAACGTTGGAAAAATAAATGTTCTGTTCTGTTTTCTTCAGTCAAAGTCAAATATGTACCTAATAACAATTGCGTCACATTTGCAATTTATTGACTAAGAGACTTATCAATGCAAAGAGAATTATTATTATCTATTATTTAATTATGTTTTTAAAATTATTTTACTGTTCATAAAAAGAATATTATTATTATTATTATTATCTATTGAAACGTGTTAAGTAGTAAAGATGGGCCCCACGTTTTTCGAGTTTACCTGTAAGCATGTATGTGTTGGTGATGTGTATTTTATGTTTGTATGTCCTCTTGAGTAATTAAGAACCCCGGAGGGTAATTTTATTCTTTTTAAGGCGCATAAAAACGTGGTTTTTAGATTTTTTAATCTACATTAAATATGTTGTTCTTTTTCGTTTTCGTATGTACCTATATGTATATTTAAGCATATAATCGTATAGAATATAATATAATAAATGTTCAATATTATATTTACATATATATAAAAATGAACGTCTGTCTATCCTTTATGCATTAGTACACCATTCATCCGATCGCCTTGAAACTTTGGCAAGTTGTTGAGTACACTCCCGCGATTCTAACTGGCATAGTACTTTACGAAAATTTCACCCCTAAGAATGGCCTCAAACACAAACTTTGTACTTTAAATACGAAATGTAAATAAATTAAATGTTTGTAACCATGGTAACCCAAAAGAAACATTTGGTTTGTAACCATGGTAACCACGGTACTCGAGCAAATGGTAGGTGATGATTAACAGGCCTATTTTATGTACTACTATTCTGGGCAAGCTTTTAACTGTTGGAACGGGATATGGGACTGAGACTCTTGAGTAAAAGGAGGACATAATAACCGAAAAAAGTGTCACAAAAACGCTGTTATCTGATAAAAGGTTAGAGATGAGGGATGGGGGAATGGAAATTATTTTACTCAGCCCATGATTAAATAGTAATATTAAAATATTTTAATCATGACTCAGCCCTGGCAGACTAAATCTCGGGCAACGCCGGGTCCGGACAGCTTTTAATGAATAAAGAAAAAATATAGGAAAAGAATGCAATAAGAGTGTATTGAGGGGAACAACGGTTTTGTACATGGATCGCTAACTACTGGGCTAACTAATTCTTGCTGACAAGCGTAAAATAGGCCTTTTTGAATTGCAAGATTCCACCCGGAACGACAGACAAACAAGAGAGTGAGTTAATAAAAACGTGTTAAAATACACTACTTTTTAACTTACTTAGCTGTTTTTATACAATACAACTGCAAAATGTATTACTAATTTAATATTTTCAAATACATTACTTCCAAGTCTCCTAAAAGTAATATTTTTTCTGGAACAAATTTACCGGACGCTTTTTTCTTGCCATATCATAGTGTTTTTTACTGATAATAAATCAGTGGACTCCTCTAGTTCCAAATGTATAGCTACTTGAATTTGCATAATTCCGCTTAATATCAATATTGTATTTAACAGTATACTTTCTTAAGTTTTAATACTTAAGTTAGTAATATGCAAATTTTAAGTAGCTATCACTTTTAAACTAGAAAACTTCGCCTAGTTCTGAATCCAGATACGGAATTTAGCGTAAACGTTCTTTTCTAAATTTGAAGTGCAAAAAAATAGTAGTCATATTTTATAATAAATTATTAATTCTTAGAGGGTGCAAGTATATGAACTTGCGCCCTCAAGATTAATCCTATACTCATCAATTTAAAAATAATGAGGTAGAATTCACTTGAAGTATAACTTTTTATTTACAAAACAAACTTATAATAATATAAATCATTGTAATACTTTTGTTTGTTTTTTACTTACTGATATTGAGCTTGTTGAAAAGTTAAAAAAATAATTACAACTCAATTATACATAAAATACCTAGTTTTTTTTTTTAAGTAACATTACACACAAGTATTTTTTTTAAAGACAGATGCTTGACCCAAATGTAAATCATCTCTTAAGTATACAACAAAAAAAAAAATTAGATTACACCTACCTCAAAAACAACAAATACTATAAATTCACAAACTACATAAATAATTATTGGTGTTTATATACTTAATAAAAATACAGAAACTAAAATTAAAAACTTTGTATAGATAATTGTTACAATTATAATTTGGTAACGCCAATTACGCAGTAAAAATTAATTTTACATAATCTGTATTTTACTACAAAATCAACCGGAATCACATGATTCTTCGGATGTATCTGGTATAATATTATAATAGTAATTTTCCTCTGCTTTCACCCGTGCTTTGTATCTTTCATAACGATAATCATAATCTTCAATGTTATCGTCCTCTTCGATATCGCTGCTACTACAACCTGTTCAAACAAACACACTTTTAGTTGATTAATGCACCAAACAAAATTATTTCAAAATCAAATATTATAATCGTATTTACTGTTCATATTTAGTTGCTTAGACCCAATGATCAAATCTTCGTAGTCACCATCACTAAAAAAAAAATGGTAAAATCTTTTACAAAAATATTTATTTATTATTATTTTTTTTTAAATTAATAAGAAACAGGATCGCAAATTATAAAAGTAAATTGTTTATTGTTATGACCTTATAATTAACAATTACTATAAACATCTTGATAACAAAACTTTAACCTTACCTAAATTTATTTTAAAAAAAAAATTAAATAGTACCAATTAACGATCAAATAATAAACAATATCAAGAGTATATAATATATGTACTCTTGATAATGTTAATGTCCAATCGTTTTTTAGAAATATCTCCTCACTTTTTGATATTTAAAAATACATCAACATAATATGAAGTGTAATAAATATGAAGTATTGTTTTTTTACACACTAAACTAAAACTATTTAAACATTTTGTAGATATTTATGAACTTAAAAAAGTTTTACATTTTTTTATACACAAACAAATTGGCCAAAACATTATTTTTCAAAATAACACGCTCTACATTTTTGTTGTATATTTTAATGTTCTGAATTATTGAGACAATGGCGAATAACTAATTTACAGTTAACAAGTATTTAATTCTAATATTGTTTGCGTTAATTTTATACATTAAAAAAAAATAATAACTTTTTAGATATTTCCATAGTCTTTAACTATTAATTTTTTTAATATTTTAACTACCTGTTTTCGATTTCTTCTTCATCTGGATAATCGTTTCTCCAATTACCTTCATCATTGGAATCATCATCGTCTTCACACGGAGACGAATCTTCGTTGTCATCTACTTTCTCACATATTGAGTAAAATTTATCTGAATCCAAGCCGTGTACACTTTAAATAAAAGAATAGTATATTTTAGTGCATAATTGAAAATTTGTTTTATAATATTGACTAGTTGAAGGTTATATCTAAAATAATTTATAATATCGATACCTTAGAGCAGACAAGTGCTATGTCCATTTTTTTTCAAAATCGTGATTTTGGGTTCATTTGATTCAGTTTTTTATCACAAGTTCAGGGATACCCAAAATCATGATTATGAAAAAAAAATGGACATAGCACTTGTGTGCTGTAAGGTATCGATACAGTAAATTAGTTAACTACTAATAAGCTTACAGCCTTTCTTACATATATAAAATAACAGAAAGGGATAATAGTAAAAAATAGACAGTTAAATAAATCTAAAAGTTGTAATAAATTTAGGCACATTGTTTTGACTCTTGTAAAAAAACGAGCGCTTTGTTGCTTTCAAAATGTTTGTCTTTTAACGATCAATATAAATATAAAATATATATATATTTTTTTTTATGACCTCATAGGTTTTTTTAACTACTTTTGTTTTAACAAGTTTCTAGTTCCCTTCCACACGAATCAGGCGGCCATTTCTTTCTCTAGACGGTTGCCCGCTCAGCTAGAGAAATAGCCAACAAACAAGACTCAACCCACAGCTAGTGTATAGGAATCAGCCTCTTGACCCCTCAATAAAAAAATATATACAGGGTGGGGCCAAGCTGACTGACGAGTTTGTTTTATCAAAACCAGTAAGAAATTGTGTTTTTTAAGTTATGTTTTAGAACGTATCTCTGGCGGCCGTCATCATCAATACATTGCTGAAGGCGATCTCTGAAGTTTTCGTATGATCTTTGGCACGTTTCAATGGGTATGGCCACGATTTCTTCAGTGATTCTCTCCTTCAGGACTTTTAAGGTATAGGACGATGTTTGAAAACCCTATTCTTAAGAAAACCCCAGAGGAAAAAATCGCACATGCTCAAATCAGGCCACATCACCTTTGAGAGACCAACTGCCTAGAGAACATTTGTCAAAAAAAAAAACTAGCGAATTTCGAGCTGTGTGCACTGTAGCCCCATCCAATTGAATCTATACATCCCCTAAGTCATATTCTTTACCTATTTTCTCCAACCTGTGTTGCAGTTAAGTTTCCAACATGAGAACATATTGTGCCGAAGTGACAGTGACAGTATTGTTGTCCTCCTCAAAAAAGTACTGGCCAATCACCCAATAACCTAACCTAACCCGAAATTGAAACACAACACACCACATTGTCACTTAAGTGTAGTAGAATGGTCTTTCATGGACTTTCCGTGGGTTATTTTCAGCCCAGTATAGAAAATTCTGTTTATTTATAGATCCAGAAATCGATGAGTAAACTTTAAAAATGACCAACAGCAATGTATTGCTGCTGATGCCCGCATCTTAGAGATAACATTTTCAAAACATAACTTAAAAACGAGATTTCATATTGTAAACAAACTGCTTTTCTCTATAGTTTAACTAATTGTTATTTATAGCCCCTTAAAAATCGTCATTCGGCTCCGCCCCACCCTGTACATCATTCTTCATTAAAAAAAAAAAAAAAATTACATTACCTATCTATATCTTGAATATCAATTAGCTCTTTAGTAGTGTCTGGAGCATAATACAAATCATATACATAATCTATTGAAATTCCTTCATCTATTGATGGTTTCACTTTATCGTTTATAATATCAACATCAACAACATTGATCTTTGTATCAGTTCCATCTAAAATAGAACACACTGGTATTGTATCTTGTTTTACAGCTCTAAGAGTGTTGATTATCTAAAATAAAAAACATGTTATAATATGTATTAGTCATAAATTTCAAGATTCAAACGTTACTTAACACATTAGCTACCATGTAGATCACGGGTATCTCTCACACGGACTATGCTAAAATAACTGACGTGTTAAGAAAAAACTTTTCTCATATACTATAAGAGACACAGGTGTCTCATAGTGCATGATTTCAATCACCAGTATATCAAAGTTATTCAAAGTTGCTTATTGTTTGCTAACAAAGTTCATGTAAGAGACACTTCCGTGTCTCTCATGGTATATAAAATTAGTTTTTTGAAAATAGGTCTGGTAGCCAACTTGTTAATATGTGCATAAAATCTATGCAAATTATAAAACCATACCTTTGAACGTTCAGATTTAGAATGTCCAATTATATTAGTAAACTTTTTATTTTTGTGTGTCTTGGTCAAGTCCTTGACAGATCTTCCTTCCCGTGCTTCTTTTAATATTTGTGAAAGACCTTCATTCTAAAATTCAAAATAATAATTATAACTATAAGAATGATACATATCTGAATAAATTGTAAAATCATATATATGTAATTTCAATGGTTCAACTCCACATAAGTCCCCAGAAAAAATATTCAAATGGTGTAAGATCGCATGATCTTGCAGGCTATGGCTGGTCACCACAAATTGAAATGACGCGCTCCGGGAATTTGTTGCAGAGCGCGAAGCTCATGGGTGTCCCAAACTATCATAACCGACCAGCCATGGCTTGCAAGATCATGCAATCTCACACCATATGACTATTTTCTCTGGAGGTATGTGATATCTCTTGTTCACGTCAACAAGCTTTGATCTGTTCAGGAACATAAACAAGAAATTCGGCGTGTAATTGATGAAATCGAAAAAGTGATCACAAACTTAACCGACATTTATAATGACAGACATTTTATTATTAAATCGGAACACATACTGAATGAAACACTATAAAATATAATCTTATTTGTAAAATTTTGAATGAGTTATTACATTTTTAAAACCGGCATCCTCTATGGGATACCCTTATCTCGTAAATAATTAAGGAAGTAACATGACTGTGGTCTAAACAAAAATAAACTTGATCATTCTATTAAGAATAAAAGTTGTACCATAAAAGCAGGCATTTAAACCGGAAAAATTTATAATAATCAAGGCTTGAAAGTTGTAGCGTTTATACATTTTTTTTGGTAAGAAATCTTTGAACATCCCAGGTAAGATACAAATTTGTTTCACACTTCTCTGATATCATAAACAAAATTTTTATTTTGCTAATTTTTACATATCGACATACATTTTTTTGGCAATTTTATTTTGCATATTTTCCAAAACTGAGATGTTATTTATTTCACATATTTTGGTATTTTTAAGTGTACATAAAAGCACTAAAAAGTATTTTTTATTTTTTAGTGCTGTAACTTCCCAACTCTGGTCTTAATCAATAAATCTTCCAATAAAAGAAATTAAAAAATTTAGTATTATTAGAAGTTTAAGTGTGAATATGCCTAGCAACCCATTGAATTGCGCCAATGGTTATTGCTTAAGGATACACAAGATATGAATTATAGATATTAATAATTCTATAAATATGGACTTACTGTATCTTTTACAGTACCGGCAAATTGAAATACACAATCACAATTTTGAGCACCGTTTGTTTTTAACTTTTTGTGAGATATAACAACAGAATTGAACGGGTCTTCGTTGTGACGTCTTTTAACACGAACTAAAGCCATAATATAATATAAAAAGACAAAATATGTAGAACTACAAAAATATATAAAACAACCAGACGTTTTTAAAAACTAAGTACCTCACAGTTTTTATTGTTAATTTAATTTTTTTAATTTCTAAACTTCAAATCTTAACATATATTTGCACGTTATAAAAGCAGATATCATAGAATAAAGAAATGCTTTGCTAAATGCCAAATGGTAATAATTGGTGAATGCTTATGCCCGATTATGCGGTTATGCTAGATACCTGATACCTTATCATTTATTAACCGTTACAAAAATTGAAAGAATTTCTACGTAACTCGATGCTAACTTCAATATTGAGTTTTGCTTCAAACCATAGCATAGACCTATAAAGATATGGACTGCGCCTCTCACACACCCCGCCTATGCTGCCGCGTTATGAACAACGTTAGAAAGAGATAGATGGTTGTTAGGTTGACCATGGAATAAAAATTGAAAAGACATGGAATAATAATAATTTAAATATATATATGACAATACACCAAATGGAAATTTATAATAATTAAATCTTATTTAATTATTATTTATTATTGTGTTATGCGAAGTTGTAAAACATTTAAGGATATGTATTTCATTATTTTGTCGGGTATCCAATGCTTTCGTATGATGTATTGTTTTAAATAGATATGTATATAGTATATCGTTAATAAATACTTAAAAACCATTACAATTTCATTCAAATTTTATCAATGAACATTCTGTTTTACTTTTTATAAAACGTGTATGTTTTGAAAAATAGTTTTTCTTTACAAACTCAATAGACAATTTATTGTATCACAGATCTGCATCTAAGTTTAAACAAATTCACTAGGTATTGTAAAATCACTACTTATTTGTTTCTTCTTCAAGTTACGACCAATATAATATAATTATATGCAGCTGGCAAATAAAAATGTAATGTCAGAGCAAAAGTACGTAACTCAGGAGAGTATGCACCAGACTCGTGATGAATTTGTCGCATAATTAAAGCAGTTTCTACATTAGGTAGACTCCTTTAAAAAAAAAAAAAAATATATATATATATATAAATTCTTTAGGGTATAATTTTACAAATAAACAAAAGTAAGAACTATACTGTAACCAAAAAAATTAATAGACATAACACAACAATTTTATTATTTTTATCACCAATAGTATATTTTTTATTTAAAAAATATAAACATATAAACACAAAGCCCCAACATCATTTTGATTTCACTAAAAAATTCAAAGAAGTTATGCTATTCATACATTATTAAAACGAGTAAATAAATATTATATTTAGAAAAATGTTCTTCATCGCTAAATAAAATTGTATTACGAGTGAAACTGTTAACAATACACAACGGTCCATTTTGTTTTGTTCCTCAATGAAACTGTTCATAGATATTTAAATATATCTATAAAAGCCATGGATATGACATCACATTTTACTGAAAAATAACAAATTAATACACACAGTCATTGCAATAATGATAAAAATGTTTGAGATAGAATCAGTTTTAATATCAATGGTTCTTATTAGAAATATTTTAGGTGGATAAAAATTGACAATTAAGACGTACAATGAAATTTTTAAAAATTATTTTGTGAAGAACATATAAAATATATAGTAGTTAACCATGTAGTGTAAAAAGATAAAGGAGGAGAATATTTTTTGTGATGAGCCATTAATATTACAGTAAAAGGATACGGATCAACGATACTTAAATTCATGATTGGATGTCAGGATTGCATAAAATCCAAGCCCTGTCTTTGGTAACAAATCCATAGAACATTGAACACTGAACGTAACCTTATCAACCAAGCCATTTAACACATACAGCAATAACTATAAAAATTAAATCAAATTAATTTTTTTATACAAAAAATACGTTTTTTTAACATGTATTTGACATTATTATAATATATTTACCTTGAGTAATGAAAAACAATTTTCATTAACTTTCTTTTCATCTTTCAGATGATCAGATGTCAGATTTTTTAATATCTTCTTCATCCACTAAAATAAAAAAAACACATTAGAAGTTGCTTTATTTTGAGATTTATAAAAAATTAAAAACAAAATATTTTCTAAATTACTTGGCATTTATAGTAAATTTCTTCCTTCTTCATCATCAAAGACTTCGACCATTTCAACATTGAATAATTTCTTACATGCTTCTATAATATATTGTTTGAAATTAAATAATAAGTAAATAAGATAAGATAAGAAAAGTAAAATTTAATTAACAAATTACTCTAAAAAAAATTACTTCCATAAAGGTACCTACTATCACATAACATTAACAAAATGTATATACAATATTACATTTATAAAAAAAATACATAAATTTGGTAACAATTACAAGTATAAGGAAGAACATACCCAGTTTAAATACACTTGGCACAGCTTCTTTTTTTAACATTTTTTTACCAGTAAAGCTCAAGTTATAGTCAGATTCTATAAAATGACTACTGCATATTTTTGTATGCGTCGCCGGAGTAAAATCTGGTTGAAACATACGTATCGCATTTGCCCATTTTAAAAGCATTTCATGATTTCTAGGCTAGCTTTGAAACAAATTATATTATTATTAAAATCATTGATTATATATTATTAGTATATTACTATTAGTAATATACCTATGATCAATATTCAAATGTATAAAAATATAATATAAGTAAATAATGTCTCAACTTACCGATGCATGATGCAATCTTTATTTGATTTTGTTTTGCACGAACGAATGACACATTGAAAAACCATTATAAGAAATTAAACGAAATTCAATATTTTAATTACTAACAAGAATAATTAAAATATTTTAATATAAAAATTTCGTTATCGGGTATTATCATATTACTATTTCTCCCATGACCAACCTAACAACTCTCTGTCTCTTTTTAACGATGTCGATATTCGGACCTCTCTCTCTACTATCAGTCCATTTCTTTATAGGTCTATGTTCCAGACGGTCACCGCTGATATGGAGAGACGTTATTTCAAATTCTTAAATTTTTTTTTCGCTTTCAAAAATTATTGCTCGTATACATTTTTGATTGGAAATATTTATTGTAAAACAAAATATCTCATCATAATAACAATATTAAGTACATAGTTTCCTTAATTTTCAAGGGAGGCACCGCCTCCCTTGCCTCCCCGGGAAAACCGCCACTGAAGGCTAGTAACATTTGTTATCACATGATATTATTATAAGAATATGTAATTATAAACTTGTACTGCTCGTGCTGTTCTTAAAGTAAGATAACCTTGTTCTGATGCTTTCCTATTAGTTTTTATTATAAAATATAAATGAATATAAGTATTTATACTTTTTAAAAAACTGTACGATTAACGAATTCTAAATTTATTGAGAAAATAGACTTTAATTTTAATAATCTGAAATAATAGTTCAAAAATAATGTATAAAAATATTTATTACTAAAATAATTTAATAAAACAAGTCTAATGGTGTACGATTTGGTATTAAATCCTAATACATGTAGGTATAAAATTCGCATCGGTCACCGAGGAATTTTTGGAGATTTATTATTGTTCTAGTCAAAACAATTTGCGAACACCCGTAGCCACTCCTCGCCCTTCCGTCTGTCCGTATGCTCTGGTGCCGGTGGTGGCTTTTATTTTTTGTTTTGGTTATGAAGATGGTATAATATACAGAGTGTACCAAACACCTATTGACAACCGAATATTTAAAACTCAATTACTAAAAAAAAATATTTTCGGGGGCTCAATTTCAAACCAAAAATTAACGTATAGAAATTTAAAAAAAAAATTACGCGCTAACTAACAATAATATATAACTTTTATTCAAATAAACACCAACAATTTTTGGGTCTTTTTGTGCACGTTCTGTATACTATTATTAGATATTTCGTATCTTGTACGTACGTTATATTTTTAATCTTCTGTCCCTCTCTATAAACATATATTAACTAAAACTATAACTAATTCCTGGTATTTCAGTGGTATAAATAACGCTTCTAGTATAAATTTAAGCCATTTTACATTACATTAAAAAAAGTAAATCAATTTTATAGAGTTTAAGTTGAATGAGCTTTTTACACTAATAAAATACTTCTTTGTATAATAGGATAATCTTGAAATATTTTACAAAATAAATAAAATATATTATATTATTTTTATATCCACTGTAATACTGTGATATTTACTATCGGAATTTAATTCTATCAGCTTTAACGATTACGCTGCAAAGCAAAGGAAATGTAATGGTGTATATAGTAGCTCAAAAGGGATGAATGGGGTTGCCTAGTAATACCAAAGAGTTACTGTAGTGTCGAATGTGTAATGTGTGCAGTGTGTATAATGTTGATAATTTGAAAACTTTAATAATTTAAAAAAGTTTCTTTTTCGGTTATCATTAGTACTTAAACTAAAATTGCCTCACCGGTGCAACAAGCAGTTAACTAAACAAAATACAATTGTGAATAAAATTCACACACAACAAATTAACTTAATTTCTGGCCAGGGGTGTAGCGAGGTCATTGTTCCCAAGTCCATTCGGCCGACTGGCTTTACAAAAACAAAATGTACACGCACATGAACTAATTAGTAATTTTTTTCCATACTTTTTAATTTTCTCAATGTTTTTATGTTTAAATTTTAAAACTATTATTATATATACGAAAAAATAAGAATACTTTTAAATGGATATATTTATAAAAAAAAATGCAATGGATACAAAAAATGGTTAAATGTTATTTCATATTTTTTTTTAGAACCGCCATTGTTAAGACCATTTTTTAATAAATAATAATATAATTTTACTTAATACTAATAACGAATAACAAATATACGAAGTAAGACAGGGATGCGTATACTTTCGTCCCTAAGAAGGTATATTTGGCAGGTAGTTAATTCAACCGGCGCGGCAACTCGACTGTTATTTTTCCTATCTGCCATTATAGTCTTTTTTTATTTTAATTTTTTTAAACAATACGGACAAATATCTAATTAACAATGAGAAATATAACATGGTAAATCTGAATAATAAGATAAAATAGATACAATATAACAGGGGTTGAATGAACCGGATACAGCCAAAAACCGCACATTTCATCGGTTTCCAGGTAAGTACCGGTGCCAGGTGAATACCGCACACTTATATTGGTAAAAAAAGGTACAAGAGGTACGTAATAAATGAATTGTAAACGCAAGGCTTCTAATTACATTCAAGAGA